CTGGGAGAAACAGCACCTGATTCATTAACTCCTTCACTGACTAGACATTATGATTGGAGAGATGTCACTGGCAAAAAAAAAAAAAAAAGTTTTATTTATTTATTTATTTATTAAATTAGTACATGATATGATCATTGCTCTTGTGCAATTTCACAAGTGTCACTATGAAAGCATATGTGGAAGAGGGTGCATATACGCTGTTTAAATAATAGGACATAGTAAAACATAAAAGTTTGATATATTGTTGCCTGCAATGTTAAGGTGGCTGCGTATGTTCTATTGATTCTTTTTTGTTAGGGAGTCACATATATACTATAGCGCAGAATTCTGAAGTTATATAAATGATTGGACATACAGGGCCTCATTTCATTAAAGGAAACAGGCAAGAACAAGGAGATATTGCGGCGAGGCTTGGATTGTGAATTCTTGAGCGAGAAAATCTAAATGCACCCCGCGTTCACAATCTACTTACTGATACGTAAAAGTGTACAATAATGTCCTATGCATGTTTTGCAGAAGTGCGCAAGCAAAAAAAATCCAAATAATACTGCTTTTTGGCCTTGTATTCAAATAAGATGCACTAAGAAATGAGAGTGTTGGGGGGAAAAAAAATACAAACTGACAAGCACCATGATTGCTCAGTAAGGTATGACAAACAAAAACAGCTCTAAAAAGACTGCTACGCTGTACTCTCTGAGTAAATAAGGCAGCATATGTAGGAATATTTATCCTTAGAGCTTCCATTAGCAAACAACACGGCGTATGCTGGCTTGCTGTGGTTAAAAGCTTGCACTTTAGCGCATACAAACTATGCATGTCTGCGCTGTGGTATCCTCTGCGCTGCATGGAATACGACTTTTTAAACTTTAGGCAGATTTTTGTGGTCATCTGTAGGGAAATCACTCTGCGGAAAGGTCCCTTGTTCCTGCAGAAAATTATTGTGCCAAATGGGGATAAGAGATGTCGCAAGAATCCAAAAAAAAGACATGATCACATTTTCTTTACATTTTTGCAGTGCATTAACGCGCTTTATGTCACGCGTCAACATGTGTTGCATTAAGTAACCTAAGAAAATGAATGGGCTGCCAATGCACCTTAAGGTCCTGAAAATCAGATGTGACTTATTTTTTTATAACTTGTTCAATGCACTACTACATGTTGTGGCACGCTGCAATGCAGGTACATTGCATTAGTGTGTTGGGGTGCCATTAAAAATAAAAATGGCACCACAATTCAGCAACGCATGTAATGTGTGTTGCAGAGCGTTGTAGTAATGGATACCTTTCCTTAGAGCAAAACTGTAAATGGGTCCTTAGGGTGTATGGCAACCCACTGTTGTTTGTGAATTTTCTATATGTACACTTGTGCACGTGTAACCATGTGCATCATGGGTGCATAGTACATACAATGCGGAAAGGACTATTGTTTGCCACAATCTGCATAACATCGATACAATGGTACACACTTATGCCTTGATAAATCTTGTTTTTCATATGATAATGGTCTGTCCTCAGCTATCTATCTATCTATCTATTATTTTTTTTTTCAATTGGTTGAACTAGATGGGCATGTGTATCTTTTTTTCATCTAAAAAATCTACTATCTATCTATCTATCTATCTATCTATCTATCTATTATTTTATATATTTTTTTCTATTGGTTTAACTAGATGGACTGTTTATTAGAAATGTCTCTTTTCAATCTGGCTATGTAACTATCTTTCTATTTTATCTATATATCTATTATCTATCTATTTATGTTTAATCTATCTATCTATCTATCTATTTATTAGAATATTTTTTTCTATTGGTTGAACTAGATGGACTGTTTATTAGAAATGTCTCTTTTCAATCTGGCTGTGTAACTATCTTTCTTTCTTTCTATCAATCTATCTATCTATCTATCTATCTATCTATCTATCTATCTATCTATCTATCTATCTATCTATCTATCTATCCATTCATTCAGCTATTTTTTACCTCTCTATTATACTTTATCTATATGTCTCTTAATGAGCAATCCATTAGCAATCCTTCCCTACAGCAGAGAAATGCACAGTTGCATAGCATGTATAATGAATTCACATACCCATGTCCTGTCTATAAAAAGGCACCAAGCTGTGTCCTAACCCCCTCTTTTATTTCCCCCTAATAAAGAGAAGCCAATCTCTCTTCTGTATCTGAAATAAGCCCCACTTTCCTCCCTTATCTGGGCACTCAGCCCCCCTCCCTGTAAATTGCCTATTTATAACTCCCCCATTCTCCGGTGTCTACTAATTTGGGCACACACCCTCTATCTTAAGTGGGCAAGTCACCGTGCCCCCCTTCTCGGTGTGTGCATACTTCTGCCCCATTTTGCAGTGCTTACCCAGAGCTGGAGACTGTAAGAATATATATTCCTCTCTTTCTTTCTTTCTCTCTTTCTTTTTTTTTTTTTTTTTTTTTTTTTTTTTTTTTTTTAGAAGAGTGACAGATGGTAAAAAAAAATCCCCCCCTAGGGACCCAAATCTCCCTCAATCCAACCGCACGTCAATCAGAGGCTCCCGTGTGATCGCTCCCGCGGATGACGTGCCAACCATATGGCCTGGCATCAGAGCTGGTACCATGACTCGGTAGACATGCCACCCTCTCCTCCTTTTGGATTGCACTCTGAAGGAGCCTGAGAACCTCAAGGAGACTCTTCTACTCCCAGAAGATGCTGCGAAAAATAATGTCATAAATTTCTTTAGCGCCTTGCTCTGGAGGTAAGTTGGGAGCAGAGGAGGCTTGGAGAGAGGGAAGACTCACAGAACCTCGTCCCCCATTTCATGGCATCCACCAGCCACCTTTCCGAGGAGCATGGATGGGGGCACCTAGGATGGACTGGGGGGCTCCCCGGCGAGCCCATCCGCTTTTTGCCTTTGCCGGGAGCCTACAGGATCTTCGCATACACTTACTGAATGACAGGGGCTTTTGGCCAAGGCTATACAATGCCCCCCAATACTCAGCTTGTCTCTTCTGCTTCAATCGGAGATCTACTGATTTAGATTTTTTCTTTTGGATGGATGGATGGATGGATGGATATGCACTGATTTTTAGAATAAAAATATATATATATATATATATATATTTATATATATATATATATATATATTTGCAATATGTGTGTGTATATGTGTGTATATATATATATATATATATATATATATAGATAAAACAAAATCTATATATATATGTATATATATAATATATATATATATATATATACATATACAATATAATATAGTATATTTAAAGAAAATATATTTTTAATATGTATTATATATATATATATAAGTGTGTGTATATATATATAGTGCAATGTGTGTGTATATATACATATATATATGTATATATATGGAATGTATTATATACTATATATATTTGCAATGTGTATAGGTATATATATATATATATATATATATATTATTTAAATATTTTTTTTTTTTTTTAAAGTATAGAATATTTATATGGAATATATGTGTATATATATATATATATATATATATATATATATATATATATATATGCTGTATAAAAGCAATAGATTTCATTTTGCATACATTTGTATTCAGATGGATAGATTTTTTCAGCCTGCGATGTCCATTTACATGCTGGAATACAAATTCTAGGGCAGTTTGTAATGACAGAAGGATGTTTTTTGACCAGCGAACATTCCGGCAGTCATTTTAAAGGGTCGTTTTCATTTATTTATTATTTTTATTATTATTTTTTTAAAGAATTTTCGGTCGATTTTCCTAGTTTCGAGAGACAACAATAGCTGTCATTAGGTGCAGTTATTTCTGCTCTGTAGTCGGTGTCTATATTGTGTCTGTGGGGGTGTCTGTCAGTCTGGATCATCTATGAGCGCTGTCTGTATGCTCCCCACCTAGCCAATATCGTAGAAATGCCCCATCACGCCGTACAAACACAGGGGCAGGGAAATGGGGATCCTGTAATGAAATAATAATTGGATCTATCAACATTATTTGACAGGGTTTAATTTGGAACGGTAATGGCTAAATTGAAAGACAATTAATTCTCATCATGCTCGGTAAGAATGATTTGTTTTTATAGGGTTGGGTGTCTTATATCATATGGATATATTATTGGGATATATATTTTTTTTAGCAGACAGATAAAAGAATAGGCTATGGAATGGCACATCAGTTGTGATAATATTTCGCAGCCTATTGATCATCAGGATCTTTAAAGGGATCTCTAATTTGTGTATGAGGTATGCAAAGTGGACGTGGCAGTGACACTTGCACTCTATAAGTACATTTGCATATTGCAATCTCCTATAATTGTGTATAAAAAGAATGTATAAAACCCATGTTAAAATATTTACCTAAACTAGTAAATTATATATTATCCCTAACTATTTAATAGTTATTGCATTTATTTGTTGCTATGTATGTTTCTTAATGCATAGACAGCCATTATCTAATAGATATACACACCTTGCTTTTAACACTTTTCTTCCTTATATAATCCCTTTCAGTGTGACAGGTACATCCATTGTTGTCACACTGTCCTATAAAACATATATAGCATGTCTGTGCCACCATTATTTTTGCATTAGTGTACTAGAACAAATCAATAAAAACTTTAATAGGAATAATGCAGTTGACTGATGGTACAGTAAGTAATATTTTGGCTTCTGATTTGTATTTTCTATAGTGTGTCTGCATTGTATATATGATTTTGAGCATGTTTGGTGAGTTTTTGCATATGTTTTATTTCACACAAATCACAGATGTAGACATCTAGGTGTCACTGACAAGGTAGTTAGGTAGGAGATATTTATGTGCTACCTACCCTAGATAGAATTTTTTAAAACAACCTTTTAACTATTGTTTAATATTTATTTTTGTAACACATATATCTTATATCCAATGTATCTTGATACTGGTGAGATTCAAATTCCCAGTACTAGATTTGTGGTGTTGACACTGTGTGTGTGTTCTGTCCCCAGCAAACATGTTGACCAGGCTGTTCAGCGACACCAGTCTGATTCCTGAGGTGCAGAAATTTGCCTCCTGGACAGATGATTGTGAAGAGGATATCAGCGACAAGGACGAGAGAAGTGAGAAAAGCCTACAGGAGGTCCATACAGAGGAATCTTTGAGTGAAAGCAAGGAAGATGGAGATATTGGTGGGGAAGACGATGAGGAGGAAGAGGAGGAGGAAGGGACAGAGGAGAATGAGGGGGACAGGCCCAAAAAACGAGGGCCAAAAAAGAGAAAGATGACCAAGGCCAGGATGGAGAGGTCAAAGGTGAGAAGGCAGAAGGCCAACGCACGAGAGAGGAATCGCATGCACGACCTCAACTCCGCACTGGACAATCTCAGGAAGGTCGTTCCATGCTACTCCAAGACCCAGAAGCTGTCCAAGATTGAGACTCTCAGGCTTGCTAAGAACTACATCTGGGCCCTTTCTGAGATCTTAAGGTCTGGGAAAAGGCCTGATCTAGTCGCCTATGTGCAAACCTTGTGCAAGGGTCTCTCACAGCCTACCACCAACCTGGTGGCTGGCTGTCTGCAGCTAAACTCCAGGAATTTTTTGACTGAGCAAGGTCAAGATGCTGGGAGGTATCATGGTCCAAATTCTTCATTTGGCATGCACCCTTACACTTATCAGTGCTCCCGGCTTTCAGGCTCCCAGTGTCAGTCAAGCTCAATAGCCAGCTCCCATCCTCTGCGGAGCCACGGCTACTGTGCCACCTATGATTCCATCTATGGTAACACATCTCCAGACTATAACAGCTCTGAGTATGATGCCCCCTTAAGCCCACCACTGTGCGTTAATGGCAACTTCTCCCTCAAACAGGACTCATCCCCGGACAATGATAAAAACTACCACTACTCTATGCACTATTCTGGCCTGCCAGGCTCCAGGCCTTCCGGACACAGCCTGCTGTTTGGATCTTCTGGGATGCGCAGTGGAGTCCACTCTGAGAATCTGTTGCCTTATGATATGCACGTCCACCATGATAGGGCCCCCATGTATGAAGAACTCAATGCGTTTTTCCATAACTGACCAATCCTATTCAAACTTTTTCATGTGTGACTGACTGTACAACTTGTGCCAAGAAATTTGGAAGGACCAGTGGGGCAACAGGGCCTAGTGGACAATCTTTCATGCAGCCAAATGTATGATGCTGGAACTTCTGTCCTACATTTGAGTTAAATTTGGAGACCCACGTGTTGTTCTTAATGACCCTGCCATCCCAGAGTCATGAGATTTGTTTGGTGGCCCTGATGTAGGCCATCCAGCAGATTGGGCTAACGCACAATTCTGAGTTTTTGTTGAGAGAATCCAATGTCTGACCAATCATAACTTAAACAGAAGCATCATATTTTTGATGTTCTGTAATTTATTGCATTGGAACAATACACTTTTGACCCCAAAGCTTGCACATTGTGAGGCACATCCACGCCCTCCCACCTGTTCACACCCATTCCATGAAGGTCAGAGATACCTGCATTCACATCATGTTTGCACATAGAATGTAATCTGGGTTTAAGCACTTGTTTATATGTGATAAAATCATAGGCGTGTCCCCTTTGCCATATTTTAACGCGCAGAAGCTATTACGCGCCTAACAAAATCATTGGGTCCGCCCCCGAGATGCAATATAGAAGCAATGTTTAGGTATCATTGCTCTTAATTATTTTGCTGTACCACAACACAGCTAAAAGTCAACTAATATCCTTGTAGTTTGAATTGTGTTTTCTACCAACAACCCTTAAATAGTTTAATATATATATATATATATATATATATATATATATATATATTATATATATATATAAATGCATGCATAAAAAAACTAAATTAATCAAAATTGAATTTAATCCAAATTGTTCCTAGTTCCTCCTTACAATCTGCAGATCCACCGACAAAAATATAAAACTAAATTCTAATTCAGTGCAGAAATATTTTTTTCAAGCAATAAAATGCAAAAAAAAGTAGGAAGAAATAGAAAACAAACGGAAAATCTATGCAAAATATAAATTTAAATTTATATAAAGTTTATTGTAATGGGGACCAAGAAAACTCTTATAATGTGCAATTTCTAGTGAACCATTTAACTTGGCCAAGAGGAGCTTACAGCAATGCCATGCAGCCCTCTGGCAATCAAAAGGTTAAACGGGCACGTGACATACATTTCCGTCTCCTACAAAAAAAAACAAAAAAAAAACTTTGTTGTTAACCACTAAATGTTATTTTATAAACTGTGTGTTAATATATATGTTTTTAAATGTCTGAAAAGATTTTTTACATGCCGAAAATATTTTTTCTTGTTATGCATGGGAAGGAGAAAGACACAAAAGGAGAGGGGGAAAAAAAAGCAATATGCAAAATGTATTTTTTTTTCACCTGCCCTAATTTATGTTTACGCATTTTTTTCTTTTTATAATTTATGTCATACATTTTGTTTGTATTTATTTTAATATGCTACCATAAAAGTGCATTAGAGGGTATTAGTATTTCATGCACATTCATTCAAATTTCAGTGTATTTTTATTTAATAATGTATTTATTTAATAATGTATTTATTTATCTGTGCCACCTGATCAAATAATGTCTATATTGTTATTATTATTTTTTTTTTTTATGTAATTTTTTTTAACGCTTACACTTCCAGAACAGCGACGTCTGATATGTGTTGAAATTCTTAAACTTGTAGAGAAAAAAAAATGGTCAGTTAGTGCGTGGGGGGCACAAGACGTGTTGTGTATGTGTCAATTTTAACTCAGATTAATAAATATTAAAAGATTGAAAAAATTCACGAATGTGTGCATTTGAATTGACCCAAAAAGCCCATTTATTTCTCTTTTGGCTACAGACTGGAGGTAGAAAGTTCATGGTGTGCTGTTATTTAGGTGTAGCAAGATCCAGTCCAACGATATAAGCCCTGCTGAAACAGCTGGGAGTCTCCTGTGCCTGGTTTAACTTGTAATTAAAAGGCTTTATAGAGGGCAATTAATAAATATTGAACATTTGTCATATTTGCTGGGCATCAGGGGATAAACAAAATGGCTATTCCTCTGGGCTGAAAGCAATAAACGACAAATAGAATAGAGAGAGGGTGCAGATGGGCTCTGGGATGCCTTGGGTGGGTAAAGCTCTAACAAATTTACGCCTAAGCATTAAAAAAAATGTCTGATTTAATACGAAATAAAAGCAAATACAAAATACAAATAATAATCATAAAAAAATAAATCTGGAGCAAAAAAAAAAATTATACTGTATTTCTAGATGATTCGAGTAATTCATACTGACAGCTCCCTAAGGGTGGTTAAGGTTGCACTAGTAAGGGATCAGGGCATCTTTACCACCAACAAAAGCAAAAAAAAATCTTGTGAACACTTTGATAGCAAGTGGAAGGGCAGTGTAGGGGTCTGAGGGGTGACTGTCATCTCGTTTGTTGCAGGGGTCTCGGAACACCCTGAACAGATGTTCTCTGCCTGTAGCGGGAATAGACGAGAGACTGCTGGGGCTGCAGTGTGCTGGAGGCAGCTGGAGCTGTCCAGACTGTTGGTGCTGAAACATCACATCCCACACAGGGGTGCACCAAGGCGTACTGTACAAGGGGGGGCTACAGCCTGCCTGGGAGAAGTATACACCTACCACCGACAAAACACACACATGCCACACTAGCCATCACTGTCAAAACCAATACTATGAATACATTGCAATAGGATTCATTCACAAACCTTTATCACAACCATATGTATCTTAATTTAGCCATGTGACCATCATTTTGAAATCTCAGTGGTCAGAAAATAATTGTCACTTTTTCGAAAATTCGCCTCCTCACCCTGATGTGTTAGCTTTGTGAATTGAGTACTATATATACAGAAGCGGTGGCTACAAAAGGCCACCTCTTCTTGCAAAACGACCTTCTCTTTATTCATTACACTGCAAAGACCAACAAGGGAGGGAATGCTGATACACACACACACTCACACATACGTGTGTCTGTCTGTCTGTGTGTATCAGCATTCCCTCCCTTGTTGGTCTTCGCAGTGTAATGAATAAAGAGAAGATCGTGTTGCAGGAAGAGGTAGCCTTGTGAACGTGTAACTGTTTAATACATTGACCTCAATTGACAAAGCTAACTCATAATAAAAGTAGCCTTAGTAAAAAAAAAAAATATATATATATATATATATATATATATATTAGTTATTTTCAGTTGAGTCCAAATAAATCTGAAAATGACAGTCACCTGGCTGAAAACAGGGAACCTTAGGCTGGTGTTATAGCTTTGTGAATTGAGCCTATTATTTTCAAGGGAATTTACTTCTCTTTTAGGGCTCTTTTACACCATGGTGCAGAGACGTCAGTTTTTCTGCACACGTTCTGCAAGGGCACAACAAAATCAAAGGTTGTCTATGTTCTCTGTTCACACCACTACACTGGTATCATGTGCAGATCTGCAACCTGTATAAAACTCATTGAAATGCGTATTAACACTGATGTAAACTGATATCCCTGCAAGTGAAATCTGAGCGTCAGTTTCCATCAGTTTTCATGCACCTATGGTGTGAAGAAGGTCTTATGCTCCCAAATTTGGCTTACTGAAGGGAACATTCTGGACTAGTCTAAATCTTAAATTCAGCATTTCTCACTTAAAATATTCTCACACATGGTGTAAACAATGCACAAAAGGCAATGGCATGTACACATTGATGTAATGGGAGTTATTTACTAAAACTGGAGAGTGCAAAATCTGGTGCAGATCTGCATAGAAACCAATCAGCTTCCAGGTTTTATTGTCAAAGCTTAATTGAACAAGCTGAAGTTAGAAGCTGATTGGCTGCCATGCACAGCTACACCAGATTCTGAGCACACCAGTTTTTAGAAAATCTCCCCCAATGTGTTGACTCTTGGGGTGGTGTATGGGCCTTTTAACTAACAGCAAAAACTAACAGGTGACGTGTTATCACCTGTAACAGCCAATCAAAAATAAGAAGAAGTTGTTGAAAGCTGCTAAAATATCATTTGGCATCAGTGCACAGAGCAGTGATGGTTCACAAAGTGACATGAAAACCAGTAAGTTTTCAGTCTATGGTGAGTAGATCAGTGAAAGATGAATTCTGATTGGTTCCTATCAGTTTGCACACTTTGTAGCTTGCCTTGTTGAATTTAAACAATACATTTTATAAATTCCTACCATTTTAAGTCTCTTTTCAGGGAATGCCAAGTAGGCAACTAGTTTAATAAGATGCCAAAGATACATCTGCATAAATGAAACCTACTTTGCCAGGAAGGAATACACCAATTCCACCGAACACCCTGAACACTCATACTAAACAACAACCACTTCACATGAAGATCAATCTCACCTGAACTATGACGTCATAGGGGCTCACAAACATTAGATGTGCCTGAAACTACTGGACAAGCTCTAGAGAGAACACACTTACATGGAGAGTGCAAAACCTGGTGCAGCTCTGCATATAAACCAATCAGCTTCCAGGTTTTATTGCCAAAGCTTAATTGAACAAGCAGAAGTTAGAAGCTGACTGGCTATCAGCACCAAAAGATGATTTTTGACATTTCATTTTTTTTTAGCTGATCAAAGAAATCTGAATTAGAATCAAAAGCTGCCATAAGGCAAATCCTCACTACACACAGTATTCTGATATGCTATGGTATTACACCAATCTCTTAACTTTAGGAAGCCTGATCCATTAGCAGCAGCAGAATTTGTATTTTTGGTGCATTGTAGGACCCTACCAACGACCACATATATATATATATATATATATATATATATATATATATATATATATATATATATAAAAAAACAAAAATGATATATATATATATATATACAGTATATGCAGTATATATATATATATATATATATATATATAATATATATATATATATATATATATATATATATATATATATATATATATATATGCAGCTATGATACCTAAGGTAACCTAGTACACAAAATTACAAGCAGGGAAAAAAAATTCCAATTAACATACGAATATCTGCATGCCAAAAGTAAG